ATTTTGAGACGAACATGACAAAAAGTCAGCACACATAGGCAACAGCACAAGTAACAATCAAAATCTTCTAACTGCTCAGCGACGGATGGTTTGAACCAAAAATCAAGCTGACAAATAAAACAATAAGGACATAGTGGACAGTACCTTGCACGCCGAGTGTGGTGAGCACACTGCAAAGAAACAAGAGAGTCCACATGGTGAATTCTTCTTCTTTCCAGCCTGCTTGAGGTGCTGAACAGTGTAGCTTATATACCCAGTAGCCTCCTCAGAGACTTCGTTATAGCACCCATGAAGTTACTGATGTCACCAATGTCAACGTGATGATCATTGAGCATGAGAAACACACACTTGGTTAACTATCATAAACAGTCGGCAAAGATTGTTCACCTCTGCTTTCAGGATGTGTTTTAAGAGATTTTCTTAAGACATGCAGTACAGCTTCGTGAGGGTTGTGGGAACTTGTAAACGAGCAGATAATAAAATATACACTGATAATGTGACATCTGGTAAAGTGATAGTGGCTGAAATTAACTACACAGATCCTGCTGCATCAGTTCCCCGCACTTCTAACTCGCATTAACAATATCAACATTTAAATTTTCTAAATCTTATTGTAATACAATTGCAGTTTCAGTTGATGATTAAGCCTGGACTACATTAAATAAAATCTACAGTAACACCATATAGCAACATATAATCCAATGATTTGGTCCTTTTAATGGTGTTAAAAATACTCTTTTAGAAGCGCAATTAAAAAAAAATTTTTTTAAACTTGACAAAAATTTTTTGATTATTAGCATCAAATGACTAAAATATTGGTCTATGTATTGTATTTTGTACAATTTTAGCTATAAAAGTGGTTTTCACTGACTGCATATCATGTACCTGCAAACCTACCTCCACTGTCTTTACCAAATGTTAGAGTTCAAATTCACCAACCTTAAGCAGTGCTGTGAAAAATGTGCTCTCATCCTGATGTCTTATTTTTTTTGCAATTTCTCACACTTAAATGTTCCAGATCATCAAACTAATATTTATATTTATTTCTGATTAGACAAAGGTAACACACAAAATGCAGTTTTTTAACAGGCATTTTATTAAAGATTTATTGAAAACCTATACCACCCCTGTGAAAAAGTAATTAAAAAGTAATAATGTGCAGTTGAATGTTAGCAATAGCTTGTGATCAATGTTTATGTTTGTCCTATGTTAAAATTAGTTTGATGATCTGAAACATTTAAATGTGACAAATATGCAAAAATAGAAGATATCCGTAGATTCAAGATTGTCACAGCTTAGAAAAACAAATTGGATCAGTCAATGATGTTGTTCATGTTTGGTTTTCCCATAAAACAGCAATATACTGATATATATAACATAATATATAACATACTATGTGAATACACTAAATGTGTAAAACACTAGAGTCAACATTACGTTAAGTGCATAAAAAGCAGTCAAACCCCACATAGGGACTGACAGCTGCTCTTTAAAATACATGTTTTCAATCTACTCGAAACCCTCCAGACCTCCATTAACAAACTAAAACTAAAATCATCCATCCATTTTCTATACACCGCTTAATCCTCACTAGGGTCAAAGGGGGGCTGGAGTCTATCCCAGCTGACTTAGGGTGAAGGCAGGGGACACCCTGGACAGGTCACCAGTCTATCACAAGGCTACACTTAGAGACAGACAACCAAGCACACTCACATTCACACCTACGGACAATTTAGAATCACCAATTAACCTCAACATGTTTTTGGACTGTGTGGGAGGAAGAATCCGGAGAGAACCCACGCTGCGCGGGGAGAACATGCAAACTCCACGCAGAAAGATCCCCGTGCCCCCACCGGGACGCGAACCAGCAACCTTCTCTCTGCGAGGCAACAGTGCTACCAACTGTTCCACCTTGCAGCAGAACCCAAATCAATGTTGGATAAAAGGGAAAATAAAATAAACTTCAACTTTTTCTTTATCGACTCCTCACTAATCCACCGTTGGTTATTATTACTGGAACAATGTTTGTAAAAGACAGAGCCAGGACTATAAAACACATGACATGAAGATGTTTTTCACTCTGGTGAGAAAATCCAGTGTACCCTGCCCTGTTGAATCAGGTGTGTGTGTCAAGGAACTTCCACATTATAATCACGGATGTCGCACTTAAGATTAAATATGATCTCCATTCTTTTAATAAAGAACTATTTGAACATGTGAAACGTGTTTGCCATTTCCCAAGACATTTTTTATGTTTTTTCTAGATCCGGTCACGACATCCTCGAGGATCACGAAGACAGAAAATGGCATTAGTTCATAGGTCAACAGACATGGTAAATGTACCTGTAAATTTACAGCAAAGACACAGAATGAATAATGTTAGTTGTATAATAAGCTAATCAATCTGTGTGATTATATCAGAAAGAACAGGGAGAAACTGAACAAGTTAATATAAATGAAAAGAGGACAACATTAGTGACACAGGGACAATAATGGTAGGATAATAAATGGAAATCTATTATTTTACCTCTTTTTAAAAACACAAATTCTCTCTTTTTTTCAAAAGATGTAAGTGTAATTGGTTTGAAGGAGATTTGAGACTTGTTTACTTGGTGCTTGTTTGACCCCAAGGTTGAGTAAAATCACAAAGAACATGCGTAATTAAATTGCCAACGATGTTTCAGTGAGTCACACTGAACCGATGGCAAACACACAAACAACCTTCCACTTCCCATGAATCCCCACTGTGGAAGCTCTTCTTGTCACCCCCTCCAGGAAGTGCTTGCATCATTTCCCTAAAGTCAACATATAGAGGGACATTGGGTGGCCTCTTTCTTCTCCCTGTCAGACCTGTTTATCTATAGCAGTAGCCCGTCAGCGTGAGTCATGGCAGCAGAGCCCCTGACTCAATGCTGCTCTGGTTAATCAGTAACTGGAGTGGGAGCACGGCGGCTGGCTGGCAGGGTTAAAGCAAGGGAGCAGAGGAGTCAGGACCTCATTCAGCAGCAGCAGCAGCAGCAGCAGACACACCCGGTAAGAGCAAAATTTCACTATCTCAGTAATTGCCTTTTGATTGTGCAGTACAGTCAGAGATGAGGGGGGATATTTTAACTTCGAGTTCTACAATTAATCAAACTAAACCATTATTGAAAAAAAAAAAAAAACTGTCCAAAAGGCATCCGAGAAGACTGTGTGTTCCACAATGTGTCATGAAGTCAAGTTTGGAGATTGTCTACTTCATTAGTAAAGAGTAAAGGTAATTTCTGCAAACTTTCTACATGCAGACAAATTTATTGCGAACCAGATTATACACCAACAAAAAACACTTATTCAGAATTCTGGCGCTTTACAGAAAACATCAGTTGTTATGAAGCAGCCATTTTTTAAACTTTATTTTTTGAACCCCAGATGCACAGGTAGGCTAGTCGTGTATAAGAACATTTGAGTGCACTGGTTTTATCGATCAGGGACCAAGGCCATGTCCTGCGCTACATGTCCAAACAGAGGAAAGCCCAGTGTTTACTCACCTCCTCCAAGGGTCCATCAGTCCACGTTTCTGCATGATCAAGTCAAAGGATAAAGTCCTATTTGTTACCCTCCTTCACAGGCATCTGGATCAATCCTTCAAAGTGCTAGTGAAAGCTGTCAGTTTAGATAACCAGCTGCAGTAAAATGATGTTGAGAAAATCTGGAATTTCTCAATGAACTTGTCAATAATCGATCTAAACCTTTCCTTTTAATATGAGTGCAAACGCTTGCAACTTTTGTGTATTAATTCACCCTCTATATGTTGTTATTTGTAGAGTTATTTTACCACAAATACAGCAAAATGTGTCGAAAGTACATTTTTTCCAATATCAGTGTCCCCAGTGAGCAGTTTTGACTGAAGCTATATTGACAAATTAATTATCTAAATGTGTTTGAGGACACTCAGTTTTGTCCTCCGCTTGAAACCTGCTTTAACAGGATCAGAGTAAACACCATCCAAACGAAACATCCATCTCGTTTAAGTCAGTGAGCACATGCAAACAGACAGACGCACTGAGACACACGTAGATGTGTCTTCATTATCTATGCGACCTCTGTTGCAGAGGGTAATGCCTGCTCTCATTCACTGACCAGCAGGAGAGAAAACACACAAAGAGCAATCAATCAATCACTGACATGGCGCTCTATGCCCAGTGTTCCTGCCAGCCAATCCTGTCAGAGACCAAAAACCAGATTCAACCAGATTTGTGGCCACAGTAATAGTTATGTAACATTTATATATGACCTAAAACTCAGTGCTGACCGAGCTACGAGGAAGAGGTAGGCTGATACGCTCAAGGTAATTCATCTTTAACTAAAGATATGTGTCTCTCCCCCCACCAGAGGGAATCACTGTAAGAAAACTACCAACCGAAGGTAAAATGCAGAGACTACGGTCGCCTCTTCTTGTCCTCCTACTAAGTTGCTGCCTTTCTGGAAGCCAAGCCAACCGTGTCTATGTTCACCCGTTCCACCTTTTTGCTGCCGAGAACGTCAGCTGTGAGACCCTGCAGACCCAGACGGTTAAACCTCTGCAGACACTCCCTGTGGCCTCTCTTGATATTGAAGACTTGACACCTGACAGCAGGGACCCATCAAAGGTGGATGCACATAGACAGAACATCACAGAGAGGACAGCGGTCCTGGCAGAGCTGCTGAACTCTCTGGGCCTGAGGATGTACAAGGCTCTCAGCAGCAAACAGCAAAGCTCCAACACCCTGCTGTCTCCAGTCAACACCTATGGATCCCTCGTCACCTTCTACCTGGGAGCCTCCAAGAAGACAGCAAGCTCATTCCAGGTCTTTGCTTTTGATTGTAGAAATACTTCTAAAGGCGTTTCATTGTCCTGATCTTACGCTCATCTAATTATGCTTTGCACTTTTGGTCTACAAAGAAGTGAACTTTTACAATTTACTGCTTTCTTCTAGCTTCTACTAGGCCTGAGTAGCGAAACTGACCGAAAGGACTGCGTGTCCTTAGTGGATGGACACAAGGTTCTCAAGACCCTGCAGGGCATCAACTCTCTGGTGGACGATGGACCCAAGGATGAAATAACTACCCAGGTCTGGGCCTTCATTCGTCAGGACGCTCAGCTGGCAGAGGACTTCGTTCAGGGCACACAGGACTTCTCAGACACGTCGTTCATCCGAGGTGTGGACTTCTCCAAACCTCAGGAGGTAGAGCAGCTGGTCAACAGCTTCGTGGACAAGACATCAGAGGGAAAGGTGAAGAACATCTTCAAAGATGTGAACTCCAGCAGCGACCTTTTGTTCATCACCTCCCTCAGCTTCCAAGGTCCGTCTCTGTTTGTGTTTCTAAATGCAAATGTGAACAGATATTTAGACTCCATATTGTCAGGATGATAATACAAAACCAAGAACTCAAGCTGAGCACACTGTAAATGTGACACCAGACAATGTATTTAAAGGACTCTTTCAGTTCCTTTTGATCATCAACAAACAGATTTGCAGTTGATTTGGATATATGTACTATAAAGTTTTTCAGTTTGATTTATGTAGCACCAATCAGTGCACTTCACATGCTAAGGTCAAGACCTTGCGACGTGATGTTAGAGAAGAAAAACAACAAGAATCCATCAATTCTTTTTAGGCAAACACTTGGGGATAATCTGAATTTAGCAGTTAAACCCACTTTAATTTGACTTTGTGCATTAATCCAGATGCTGATATAACAAACTGAAACCCTACAAATAACCATGTTTAGAGTCCTACTAACTGCTCCACCACTCTGCAGTACCTGACCGTGTTCTTTGGTTTTATCTCTTTGTAGGAAACTGGAGGACAGCCTTCCAACCAGAAAAGACTTCCTTGCAGGAGTTTCATGTGGATGAAACAACCATGGTCATGGCTCCACTGATGACCCACACGGGTCAGTACCACTACCTGAATGATAAGGTAAATCTTAGTCTAGAGCATTAGTGTTTGCTGCGTATTTGCAACAGTAAAACAGGAAATGAAGCTCCTTAAATCCCTCATGACTCATCTGCTATAATTTTGTTTTGTTATTTTGAAGGTGAGGCAATGCACTGTTGTGAAGCTGTCTCTAAGCAAACGGTCTTACATGTTGCTCGTCCTGCCTCATGAAGGCACCAAGCTCCACGACATAGAGTCAAACCTGCTCACTGCTCACATTTCTGGTTGGTACCAGAACCTCCAACAAGGGTGAGCACTCTCCTTTTTTATTTTTTACTCTAGCTTCACTATCACCTTCAACTGTTGTTATCCTTCTCTCAAGTTGGTGGACAGGAAAACTAAAAAATATTCTGTCTTTTATCATCTTTAGACTCTGAGGCTTTATGCATGGGTACCATTGTATTGGTTTCAGGTTATAACACCGTAGTAACTTTATATCAGTGCCTCCGTCAATTAGACATCGAGTCAAACTGAAGCAAATGAAACAATGGAGTCAGGTACAATCTCATATCAGTCCCCAAATTAAAATTTAAAATCTGTCTCACCCTTCCAGTCTGTTGGAGCTTTCACTGCCCAAGTTCTCCATGTCTTCTGTGACTGATCTACGTGACCTGCTGACCAACATGGATCCGGAAATCGAGGCCAAATTGTTGGGCTCCCAGGCTGAGTTCAGCCAACTCAGCAACACCAGCCCTTTCACCATAGATAAGGTTAACAGCATGTGGTCAACATGTCATTGTGTAAAGATTCCCTCACTGTGTATAAGTGTGTAATCAATACGTCTCTCTGTCTCCTCTCAGGCCGTCAACAAGGTGCTGTTTGAGATGTCCGAGGAAGGAACGGAACCTCAGGACAAAAAACAGGAAGAAGGCATCCCTCTGAAACTCTCCATCAACAGGCCTTTCTTCTTCTCTGTAATAGAAGGAGATTCTAACTCCATCCTCATGCTGGGCAAGATCACCAACCCCACACTCTGATGATGTATAGTACTTCAAAAAAAACCTCAGACATGAAAAATGTCCAACATACCAGGCCCTTTTTTTTTCTTTTTTTTTTTTACAATGTACTTGATCGCCTCCAGCTTACGTTTCTGCGAGGGATGAAATCAGTCATGCAGCAGACATCTCATTTAGATTATAGCCGTGTTTTTCATCTGAAGTAATGGCCACAAACAGCACATGAGAAATGAACCTCGCCGAAGAAGGATCTAAAAATGCTCAACAGTGTTATAGTTACCTTTCACCACCAAGCTGATCTCTCCTCAAGCTCAGAAGCCATCGAGGATCCCTCTCAGTATTTATGAACATGTGTTATTGTAAGATGAGTTATTTTCAAGCTGCCTGTTTAAATTCTAATTAGTTTTTTTTTTTCTTAAAATGTATAATAGCAGAGTTCTGTACAGTATTTTTCAGTAGAGTAGGTACAGGAACCACGACTGTCTGCGATAATTGACTAACACACTGTATATTGTAACTAAGAGTCTATTTTTGTTTTGTTATGATTTGTGAATGCTGAAATAAAACATTTGTTTCCAAATATATGCTTTTTTTTTTTTTACTGTTTTTCCATCGAGATTTCAGACAGTCATCAAAATCAATGTTTCAATCAATGACATTCTGTCTGAACAGGTCGGGAGAGAGAAGACTTAAAAAACTGGAAAACAGGAACGTTATGCATTAGATAACTTGTACAGGTTTACATCTGACAATGATCTGAGGTAACCAAAATACTGAATTTAAGTTTCTCAGATAATCACATACCTCTACTGCTCACTTCACTCCCATATATTCTGTGCATTACAATAATCGTACATACAGGAGAAATAATTCAGTGTCCTTAAATATAACTTTGTAACTAAATCAAACAATAGAGATTAGGAATTTCAAACAAAAAAACAACTCACATCTACTTTTTCTTTTATAATGCTGAATATTGAGGCAATAAGAGCAACGCATTAGCTTTTATAAAACTCTTTAGAAATTATTCATTTGCAAATCTGAAAAGTTTCGTAATGGCTGGTTGAAAATATTGCCATCGTGAAGTTGTATATACTGCATATTACATCTTACTCATAAATATAAGAAAGTAATAAATTAACATATGAATTCACGTGTTAAATATCATTTAAATCTCCACATCAGCATTACTACAAGGTCTCAGCCACTTCCTGCTCTCTCAGACCTATTCGAGGACAAAATGTGACATAGACTGCTTTTGTTGTTTTTTGAGTGAAACCATGTGTACACAACGCTCAGAGCTTTCTTGGTAGACGTTTACAGTGTAAACGCCTGACTAATATACAACCCACTTGTAGCAAACAAATGATCTCTGTATTAAAACACATTGACCCAAAAATATATCCAAAGTTCTTCATTTTATTCCCAACTCACTCATGTCAAACATTATATTATACAACTTTGATTTGAACATGTACATGCTATTAACAAACGTATTAATGTGAGAATAATCCTTCAGCAAAAAGCAGTAATTAGACAAACATTTTAGGATTAACCCTCTCCCTTTGCAGCTAAGATCTGACACTCTTGTTATTCAACATTCTAACCCAGCATAGTACCTGCAGAGCAGCGTGTATGACAAACACCCAGCATCAGTCTTTGTTAGAAGCATTTCATGAGCACAGAACCACGCGGTCCCTTTTATCTGTATTGCCTACAACAGAGGCAGTAATGATCCAGTAGTAGTTTCTCTGCCGTTTCCGACATCAATTTTCTGCTTGGTCAGCCGCAACTCTGGCAGCTTCTTATTGTTTGAAATGTTAGTGCACTGTGGCTCTGAAGTCTGCGTTGAATTGAGATGTTATTTACACATGGTTAAAAAAGGACTTTTGTACTTGGTTCTTTTCCTGCATTCTTCATAGTGCGATGATCACAAACCGTTGCCAGACCATGACTTCGGCTTCGACTGGGAGAAATGTTTGTTTTTACTCAGAAGATGAGTGCAGCATGTTAAAAGGCTTCAGTCACTGGTTACTGGTTCTGCTCAGCGAGCTCTCGGGCCTCTTTCACGAGCTCCATCAGAGTGGAGAACATGGAGATTTCATTTGGCTGGAGGCCCATCTTCTGAATCTGAGGCACACATTAGCATAGAGTTATGGCGTTAAAGTTATGATTTCAGCAGTATTTGTCTACAGTATACGTATGATTGTTTCTTGCGTGTTTACGAATGTGTCCTTGTGTGAATGTGTATTTGTGCTCTCATGACATAGCACCTACCTGTTCCCCCAAATATTCCACATCCAGCGCCAGCTGCAGACGAATCTTGCTGTCGTCCGTCGGCCCACCATTTGCTCCTGCTGTGGTAGTCGTGGTCGCGCCCTTTCTGGCCTGCTTCAAGCGCTTCAGACTCTCTTCCATCTTTCTCACTGAGCTCAGCACCTCAGAGATGGTGTCATAGTACCTGAGCACAAGATGGAACATAAAACTTATTAATACATCTTTATAAAGTGAAAGAAATTAAAATGAATGCGAAACACCTTTTCAGTTACATTAAATTGGAGTTACTCTGTAAACATCACAGGCACATGCTTTAAGTTTTAAGTCTTCAACACTGGCACTACTGTTTGGGTCCATTCAGGTTTGTGGGTGTGTATTTTAGGCTTACTTCTGTGTACATTCAGACAATGCAACTCGGAGCCACTCTTGGGCCGTTGACGGGGTGACCAGCCCTGTTGAGTCAGTCAGCAACTGATGCAACGGGCGTAAGGCGTTGTCCATGTAGGCTGATGCACGCACTGGCAGATCCTACACAGAGAAGACGTTAAAAAAGAAAAAGAGGAATGTCAAGGGTAGAACAATCTCTGTATGTCTACATGAGATAAGTTTTTAATGTTTGCTTAAGTCAAGAGTTTCTTGTGGAAGGTCATTATTTTGGGGATGAAAAGCTGTTAAAATTCTGTTGGTACAGCTCCTCTGTCTGTAACTATCAAAGGAGTAGCATGTTGTGGAATACAAAAGGATGCGATCATAAGATGAAAATTTGATGGAGAAATCTAGTGCAATGGTTACAAGCAGAGCAGATATCAGACTACATGTAACCAGTCAGAGGTGCAACACATTTGAAAACCTTTAATC